TTAGCTGGCTCCAGGACAGCCAGAGCTACATAACAGAGACTCTGTCTCAAAAAGCCAAAACCAAACAAATGAAACTCCATTTCTCTCTCTCTTTTTTTTTTTTTTGCCCCAGACAGGGTTTTTATTTGTAGCCCTGCCTATTCTGGAACTGCCAGTATAGTCCAGGCTGGCCTTGAACTCAGAGATGTGCCTGCCTCTGCCTCCAGAGTGCTGGGGTTAAAGGCGTAGGCCACCATGGCTCAGTTTAATTCCATACTTCTTATACACTGTTCCAAGACTTGAGCATATGATCTGGTTTACCTGACTTGAAAACCAGTCGGTAGCCAGGGAATAAGATTCATCTGTACATCACTAGCTCATCCACATTTATTAATTTTCACTCCCCTTTCTTTTCCCTCCCTTCCCACCCTCTCGCCCTTTATTGTGCTAAGAGTAATCCCAGAGCATTGTGTACTAAGCAAGAATTCAACACCCAGCCTTGCCATTCTCTTAAACCCTATGAACATCAATCAGTCAGTCCCAAGAACTACCAACTAGAAAAAAAAAAAAAAATAGTGTCACAGGTGACACATACCTGTCATCCCAGAACAAGGGGAGGTTTTGGGCTACAAAATATGTACTTGTTTAAAAAAAAAAAAAAAAAAAAAAAAAAAGTCAGGACTGTTCTAGATTCTTTGCTAACAACAGTTCTTATCTGATAACAGACCTAGGAGCTTGGGAGAGAGCTTAATCGGGAAGTGTTTGCCTAGCAAGCAGGAGGATCTGAGCTGGGTCCTCACCACCCACTAAAAAGAGGCAAATATGGGGTTTGGAGAGAGGACATGGGTTCATTTCCCAGAACCCACATCATGGCTCACAGCTACCTGTAACTCCAGGTCCAAGGGATCTAATACCCTCTTCTGGCATCTTGAACACCAGGTACACACATGTATGCAGTCAACACGCACACACAGAGTTAACTCGGATTCTCCTAGAAGGGGGGATGTCTGGGGCAACAAACTCAAAGACTAGAAGGGACATGGGCTCTAGCAAGGCTTTTGTCTCTCATTTTGTTTACTGCCTTGTTTGCAGCCCTTACCACAGGGCTGCAACATAGTAGAAGCTCCGCTAATACTATAAAATAAAGAGCCATCTGGCATCCGAAGCCAGGAACACACCATACAAAGAACAGGGCTCCTGACTCTCTGGCAGTCTGGGCTTACTGCTCATAGCAAACCTACAGATAAGAGAGGTATTTAGACTTTCTACAAATCTTTTTAATGTCCAGGACTAATTAAGAAAGACACTCTTCATCTACTTCTACATCCAGTCAGTTTCACAGTTTGGAGCCTTCTGAAAACTCACTGCAAGCACAGGAATGGATAGGATGGAAAACAAACAATGATTTAATATTGTTGTTAAAATAATGCCAACCTCATCAACCTCAGAAAAGTCTGAGCAGTTCCTGGAATCCCTGAAAGACACTGTTAAGGAGTAGAAATGCTGTAAGCCGTACTTGGATCAACATTTAGAAAAAATGCTCAAATAATGGATGGGGATGGGGTGAGGAAAGAAAAGGAAACCATCACAGCATGATGAAGTGACACTTAAAACAAAGCCAAGACGTCTTATCAACACAGCTAATTTTTGTTTTGTTATGTTTTGTTTTGCTTTTTGAGACAGGGTTTCTCTGTGAAACAGTCCTGGCTGTCCTGGAACTCCCTCTTTAGACCAGGCTGGCCTTGAACTCACAAAGATCTATCTGCCTCTGACTCCCAAGGGCTGAAGTGTGCCATCTCCGCGCCACACATAGCTGATTTTTTGAATATTACTTACTCTTCATCCTTTAACATTAATTTCCTTCATTCACTAACATTAAGGGGATTGCCATTTGAAGAAAAGAAAAATCAATGCTTCACTCTGATAAGACAGAGGTCAGAACAAAACCACACACAGCTGGGTGGTGGTGGAAGCGCATGCCTTTAATCCTAGCCATGGGAGGCAGAGGTTAAGTGGATCTCTGTGTTCGAGGACAGTTTGGTCTATAGAACTCCAGGACAGCCAAGGCTACAAAGAGAAAGCCTGCCTCCAAAAAACAAAACAAAACAAAACAAAAAACAAACAAAAAAGACCAAGGGAGGAAAAAGACAGCTAGGGTGTAGCTCTGTAGTAGACTATCTACATAGTACGCATAGGAGAACAAGGTCCTGAGTTCAAGCCCCACAGAACCCCACCCCACCCCACCCCATAACACCCAATTGCAAATTTTCCTTCCTAAAGACAAGAAAAAAACATTTAGTTACTGTGACTTTTCTGATAAATATTTGGCCTTCGTGTTTTATTTAAATTCACACCTTATTCCTAAATTTATATTGTAAACCTTACAAGTTTATATTAACTAACACACATCCACCCCTGGTAAGCAGATAGCATTGGGCCTATATTTGAACCCTGAAACTGCCATTTAAAATACAACCTCTCTCTTCTCTCTCCTTCCCCCCTTCCCTTCCTCCCCCTTCTTTCTCTCCCTCACTCTCCTTCTCACCTAGGCTTGCCTAGAACTTGCTACATAAATCAGGCTGGCCTCACTGCCCCTGCCTCCTGTGCCACAAGCTGGGCTGAATTTGAACTCTTGATCCTCTGTCCTTTAACTCGCAAGTGCTGAGATGACAGGGTGGTCACTTTAAAGTTAATACAGTATTTAAACCTTTTGAATGGGTGACAGGGTTAAATAAGATAATGAATAAAGCATTTAAGCCCCACAGAGGTGGTGGTGTGCGCCTTTAATCCCAGTACTCGTGGTGAGGCAGAGGCAGAGGCAGAGGCAGGAGGATCTTTGTGAGTTCGAGGCCAGCCTGGTCTACAAGAGCTAGTTCCAGGACAGCTTCCAAAGCCACAGAGAATCCCTGTCTCAAAAAACAAACAAACAAACAAAACCAAAAAGAATACAGCATTTAAAACACTGCCTAACACAAAATACTCGATATCGACTTCTGTTTATATAGTACCCTAATAAAACAGCCTTACTAGCCAGAGCAGATCAGATGGTCCTTAATAATGGAAGAGCACCCTAGGATAACAACAGGAACTACAACAAAGAGCTGTTTTGTATGTATTTTCTCAAGTTAGGCAATTTTCTGCACAGCCTCAGTAAGTGGTGACAAGCTATAGGAAAAGCATCAAAGACACTTTGCGGGTTAGAGAGCCGGCTCAATGGTTAAGAGCAGCACTTGCTACTCCCCCACCCCCCCCCCCAGAGGATTTGGGTTCTATTCCTAACAGCTCACAACCACCTGTAACTCCAGTTCAGGAGATCCAATGCTCTCTTCAGGCCACCATGAGCAACACCAAGCACACATGGTAAACAGATGTATATAAGCAAAACACATACACACACAACCAAAAACACAACCCCCTCTACATTTTCAAAGGTATATTTAATACTGTACAATAAGAAAACAGAAACTCAAAAGTAAGGGCATGCTACATACCTGCTTCCCAGCACTGAGGTGAAGGTTGGAAGATCAGCAGTTCAAGGTCAACCTCAGCTCCATAGTGAGTACAAGGCCAGCCTCTCAAAAAAAGGAAATTCAAGAGGACTCTTCATTCAACTAGGCTGCCAGACTCTGAACAGAAAATCTGGCATAGCTATCTAGGGGGAAAAAAAAAAAAAGCCATGTGTACCCTCCACAGACAGAATTGGGGGTGTGGGGTGGGCAGGATCTTACTATGGAGCAGACGCTTAGCCACAAATTCATGACCCTTCTGCTGCAGCCTCCTGAGTGCTGAACTACTGGTGCGTGTTACCAGCAGCTGACACAAGCTGAGGTGGAACTATTATTCATATACTCTATAAGGCATGCAGTAAGAGCTGCAGCTGTGTAACTCTGTCCTCTCAGTTTAACAACACACTCTAAGAGAAGTGAAAGGAGGCTAAGAAGAAGACTCTCATAAAGAATCTTTTGCCCTCAGCATTAGCCTTCCCTAAGATGGGTTAACTCCCACAACGATCCATGTGTGCATAAACATGCTAACTCAGATAGCACCTGACACCTGCAGATGATATTTACCAAGTACTTACAGAGTTCCAGGCACATTTTTCCTATGGACTAATTAATCCTCAGCATCAACATATGTTAAGTAGTTTATTGTCTCTACCTTTAATCTGGGGAATTGAAGCTCAGAGATCAACTTGCCCAAGCAGGCTAATAGCATCTGTCCCAAAGTAGTCTGGTATCAAAGAAGCACATGTTTTCAACCAATGGTCTCAACCGGTGGGTCTCCACCCTTTTGGGGGTTATCGAATGACCCTTTCATAGGAGTTGCATGTCAGACATTTACATAATGACTTGTAACAGTAGCAAAATTAGTCACGAAGCAGTTACAAAAATAATTCTATGGTTGGGGGTCACCACAACACGAGGAACCGAATTAAAGGGTTAAAGCATTAGGAAGGCTGGGAACCACTGGACTAGACAGAGAAGAAGGCTGCCCAAATAAATGCTGCATAAACTTCTAGACTCTGAGAAAGACCTAACATTCATGGACAGTTTTGGTTATCTAGAATATTTGAATTCTAGGCAGTAAAAATACATGGGCTTTTGAAATTTTATTTGATTGGCACCTGACACACATCTGCAGTTGCTCAAGTGAACAAGACCCCCATGGTGAGCCTGATATCGCAGCAGCTGGCAGTATTCGAGAAAAAGAAGGGTGGGCATTTACTTTTAACAGCCATGGCAAGCACAGTCTCTATTCAATTACCAATCAACTCCAAGCCTCGTTTCAGTATTCTTGCTGGCCTCAAGGCCCACTTTATCTTTAACTATGACTATACCTCCTCTTAACTTATGGTATTTAAAAAGTGCAAGGTTAAGATGGACGCTGGGATTGGAAGTTCAAAACATCACCAAGACACAGGTCATAATTAACCACTCCCCGGACAAGACCGTAAGACAAACTGGTCACGCCATCAGGAATGATTCTCATTAATAAGATCTTACTACAGCTTTGGTCCTTACCCATTAAACAGTCCTTGTCCATCTTCTTCCATATTACCAAATAATCATCGGCTGGATTTTCCTCTTCTCTATTACCTACAAGGGAAATAATCTGTGAGCCTGGGCTAAAACATTGCAAGAAAAAAGCAATTGCATAAATTTTATTTATAAATTCAGAAAAGGATGATGTGGGATGTCCTTCTGTATGTCATGAATATGTGTTGCTTTTATTGGTTGATAAATAAAGCTGATTTAAGCTGAGCATTGGTGGTGCAAGCCTTTAATCCCAGCACTCGGGAGGCAGAGGCAGGCGGATCTCTGTGAGTTGGAGGCCAGCTGGTCTACAGAGCTAGTTCCAGGACTTGCTCCAAAGCAAAACAGAGAAACCCTGTTTCGAAAAACAAAACAAAATAAATAAATAAATAAAAATAGAAAAATAAAGCTGATTTGGCCAATGGCCAGGCAGAATACAGCCAGGCAGGAAATAGAAAGATATAGAGAGAAAGAAAGACTCAGGGAGACACCACGTAGCCTATGCAGCAGCAAGATGCGAGGTAACAAGCCACGGAAATCATGGTAAAATATAAACTAAATGGGTTATTTGGGAGAACTAGTCAGTAATATACCTGAGCCATTGGCCAAACAATTATAATTAATACTAAGCCTCTGAGTGTTTACTTGCGAACTGGTGGGCAAGAGACAAACTTTCATTTAAAAAAGGGGATTAATATATTACAACACAGTAAAATCCCTACAACATTTTGACATTGATATTTTTAAAAAAAATAGAAAAAAAATATGACCCATGTTTCAGGTAAGAGCAACCAAAGATAGAGTCATTTACAGAGAGAATGAGCTATAGATGCAAGCATTAGAGGTTTTCTTCTGGCCTGGTGGTGGAGGCACACAATTTTAATTCTAGCACCTGGAAGGCAGAGGCAAGTGAATCTCTGAATTAGAGGCCAGCCTGGTCTACAGAGTGAGTTCCAGAACAGCCAGGACTACATAGAGAAACTCTGTCTCAAAAAACTAACTAAATATATATGTATATGTATATGTACACACACACACACACACACACACGCGCGCGCGCGCGCGCGCACACACATATATATAAAGGTTTTCTTCTGAAAAAAATGGAGTTCTGTAAAAATGTACATTTTCCTTACATAACTTACATCTGTCAGAACTGAAAAAAATCATTCTAACAAAAACACTAGAGTATCAAAAGCTAAACTTATTTATGCATGAGTGAAATATATAATGGTTCAGAGAGGGTATGAGACAACTCCTTTGTGTTAACTGGGTTTATGGCCTACAGGTAAGCAGCAAGTATCTTTAAAAGCAACATATTCTATACGCAAGAATATTATAAGCAAAGATAACTAGAGTTTATGAGTTCAATAAATTACACATGTAGTCATTTTTTAGACTTCTGAAACTGTATTGGGGATTTAATAAAACTTGATTGGTGGGTGTATTGGCTGCTATGTAACAAGATGACAATTTCCCCATCTTATCAGCCTAGCAGTGAACACAAGAATTCCTCTTGAAAGAAATTTTCTTTGAGAAAATATGCACCCTTGACATGGGGCCCCAACCTCTCAGATCCAGTCCCCGTAGAGTGGGTGGTTCCCTGAAGAATGGCTGTCAAGGACCCAGAATGGCTGTCAAGAAAGGGAAATTGCTCTGCATTCTGTAAGGGGAGAACTCGTTGTTTTGTCTCTAAAAGGAACTCAGAGAAGAATGACGAGAGGGATGGAGAAGAAGAGAAGAGTTAGTACAATAGGGCAAAGCTGGGGTTGGGTGGGGGTGAAGAGCTCAGGCCAAGGACAGCTGAAAGTTGTCTGCATTAATGCAAAGCGAGGCTCTCTCCACCTCTATTCTATTCCCTTTCTTTAGTTAGGTATACAAATCCACAATGCCCTGTGTGAATAGAGGCCTTTCTGAAAATCAGAGGCACCAAAGTTCACATCTGGGTGCACTTAGAGCAAGCCAGTAGCACAGGGCAAGAAAGTGTGGGCCACATGGCAGAAAGAGTTGCAAGATCATGAACTCACAGCTTTTATCCACTATATATTATTATAAGCTGCGGGTCTAAGGCGCTCAGACAAGCTACACTGAAACCGTATGCGTGGAGTCTCAAATTCAAACAGCACCTCTCTCTCCTATCCAAACCTAATGTCCAAAGTAACAACACCTCCAAAAAACTAATTACAGTTAAAACCAAGTAATTTTAATTTAATTCTAGATGCCCCCTAAGCTAACTATGTTAACCACCTCTACACTCAATAGCATGCAGGTAGGATATGTAAGCACATGGAATTTATGCTTAGCATCTTATATTTGATCTTGGTAAAAGGCTATGTGTTGGGTGTGGTGGCACATGCCTTCAATGCGAATGCTTTAAAGACTGAAGCAGATGGAAATCTGAGTTCAAGGCCAGCCTGCTCTGTGGTGCTTTAAATATAGTACTGAATACTGAACCCAGGACTTTGCTCATCAGGCGAACACTCTACCAATAACGCTGTATCCCTAGCCTACAACCTTCAGTTTTCATAAGAGAAGCTGAGGCTGTAGAGAAACCAGGCTGAGAGACCCTCCTATACTTCCTCCCTATAGTGGATAAAACATCCCAGAGATGCTGCAAAGTACAATAAGGAAATGTATACAACTACATTATAAATAGACAAGAATTGTAATTCAAACAATTCTGAAATGTGTTTGGCATTTGGTTCTTCATTTCAGTTAAATAATATCTAGTTTTGACCAACAAACTTCATAGGGGCTAAAGGACATAATTAGATGAGAATTCTAGACTGAGACTTGGAAGAGCAATGGCTGGGTATGATTGAGTTCTTCCCAATCACACCAGCCAAAGGCAAATCAATGCAATCCCACGTTCCAGAAGCAGGCACAGCAATCACCTTAGCATGCATCAGGTTCCCATTGCATCGCTTCAGGATGCTAATCCTACTTTTATATCTCAGCATACAGTAAACACTGCCAATTGGGAAAGTCTAACCTTCAACATATAGTCGCACTATTTTTAAAACAGTAATTCTGTCATCAAGCACCCCTGTGAAATACTAGAAAGTGGGCTAGAAAGAAGGGTCAACAGTTAAGAGCACTGCTGCTCTTCCAAAGGACCTAGCCTCAAATCTCAGCAGCCATGCCAGGAGGTTCACCAGGAGTTCCAATGCTCTCTTCTGATTTCCAAGGGTGTCTCCCCCTATAAATAGAGATAGATTTGGTTTGGTTCTTCGAGACATGGTTTCTCTGTAGCTTGGTACCCTGTCCTGTAATTCACTCTGTAGACCAGGCTGGCCTCGAATTCACAGAGATCCACCTGCCACTGCCTCCCGAGTGCTGGGATTAAAGGCTTGTGTCACCACTTCCCAGCTTAAATTTAAAGTTTTAAAAAAGAAGACAGACAGACAGACAGAGAGTCTGACAGAGTAGACAATGGGATGGAGAGATGACCTCAGTGGTTCAGTGCTGTGGAACAATTTTTGTGCACTGTAAATATATATTACTCTCACTGGCTAATAAAAGAGCTGGCTGGCCAATAGCTTGTCAGGTAGATGTTAGGCAGGATCTGCAGACAAAAAGAGTGTGAAGAAGAGGAGGAAGAGAAAGGAGGAGTCTCAAAAGAAAAGTTCATCTTGCCATGCTGAAAAAAATGTATCACCATGTGGCAGAGCACAGATAAAAAATATAGGTTAGTTTAAAATGTAAGAGATAGTTAGCAGGGGCTGCAGAGATGGCTCAGAGAATTAGCACACTGGTTGCTCTTCCAGAGGTTCTGAGTTCAATTCTCAGCAACCATATGTTGGCTCACAACCATCCATGATGAGATCTGGTGAAATCTTCTTGGCAGAACACTGTATACATAATAAATGAATAATAAATCTTAAAATAAAAGTGGTGCATAGAAATTCCTGCAAGCAAAAAACCACCCCGTATAAACAAACACACACACACACACACACACACACACACACACACACACACACACACACGCTTTTAAAAACGAGCTAGTTAGTAACAAGTTTGAGCTACTGACCTGGGGATTTCTAATTAATAATAAGTCTCTGTGCAATTATCTGGAAACTAGCTGGTAGGACAGAAAAGTCTGCCTACAGTTAAGAACAAAGGCTATTCCAGCAAAGGACCTGGGTTTGGTTCCCAAGCACGTGTGTCAGGTGGCTTATTAGTACCTGTAACTCCAGCTCCAAGGACTCACTTCTGGAGTCTGTGGACATTGCATTCACATTCACAGTATCCCTACATAGACACGTATACAACCAAATAAATTAAAATTTAAAAAAAGGAACACTAGACATTAGTCTTACCATCACAGAGCTGCAACTTTAACAGGGAGGGAAATATGTGGGGATGTTTGCTGTACTCGTACAGCCATCTCTATTGCTGGAATGATTCAAACACATTTGCTCTGTCAGGTCTCAAAATGGGATAGGTGTCAACGATATTTTACAGAACAAAATAGGGTCAGACTGCTTACTAAATGACTAGCTCATGCATGGCCAAGGAAGCAGAGGCACCGAGGGCCAGGTGCTTTACTGGTGCATCCCGGTAACAGTAACCAAGGAACGCAGTTCTCAGTGCTGTGCCTATGGTTTGAAATTACTGAACTACTAACCTATCCTTTTCCACAATGCACTTTTAGAACTGACTAAGCAGGGAACAGTAGTAGTAGAAGAGAATCCCTTAAACAAACAAACAAACAAACAAAAATTAAAAAAAAAGAAGAGAAGCCCTTTTAATAGTTGTTAAGTTCTTTAAAACATAAAGATGTGGCCTAGTGTGGTGGTTCAGTTCCTAGCACTCAAGAGGCTAGGCCCGGGAAATGCTTTGACTTCATGGCCAGTCTTGGCTACATAGTTCTAGGGCCAGCCTGAGCTACAGAATAAGTCCCTAACTCCAAAAACCAAAAGTAAAATATCTTTAGACATAAAGCATAGAGTTTCATCGTTTTAAAATTCACCAAAATAAGCCAGACAATGGTAGTATGCTCCTTTAATCCCAGCACTTAGGAGGCAGAGGCAGGGGCAGGGGCAGGGGCAGGGGCAGGG